AAATTAATGACAACAAAACACAAGAAGGTTATGGTGAATAATTGGTAAATCGAGAAAAAGTCAAAGCTATTGTCGATTATGCTCTGCGTGATAGAGTTCGTAAAGAAGACATCCGCAGTAGAACCAAGGTAACCTACATAGCTCAGAGGATTAGCAAGTGGCGATGGGCCGGCCATATAGCTCGTAGAACCGATAACCGTTGGGGTAAGAAAGGTTCTCGAGTGGCAGCCGTACGGGCCATAGCAGTGTAGGACGGCCCCCCACTAGATGGAGTGGCGACCTGTGCAAATGTGCGGGAAGTCGATGGATGCATGTGGCTCAGGATCGTACTTCGTGACAGTCTATGGGGGAGGCCTATGTTCAGCAGTGGACTAAAAGAGGCTGATATAATGATGATAACTCAAACAGGCTGAAATGATGATGATGATGATGATGATTGTCGATTAAAGAAAATACGTGCTATAAGTCAGAAAAAAGTACGTAGATTGTTATTAGAAACGAGAAGTACCTACTTATTAGCTTATTATCTGTCTGCTGTTATTAAATGTATGTAAGTTAACAAGATTATCCTGTTTTATTAAATTCTCGGCGTTGAAAACATTTTAGTGCGAACGATCGTAGAAGAGATAGAAATTTATTGTATATGCATTTATCAAATAATAATTTAAAAGTTTATGCAGTTATTTATTATGATAATACGTTTGTCTGTCGGCAGATTTCGCAACACCTTAGTCAGATTGTCGGACAGTCTGACCTTTAACAATTCATAATGTCGGTATTTAATATTTTGACGCGGTTTGGAACATTACGAAATTATGAGAAGCCAGTAAAATTTTTCATTATTAATAGACATCGCGATTCGTTTTGATTCTACTACATGCGACGCGAAATTATTGAGAATGCAACTCGTTTTTTTGTGTATAAAGTTATATTCGTGCACAATATAATGTCGCCACAGTTTTCGAGAACGCTTTTCTCTTGGTGTGGAGCCCAAGAACTTGGCGCGGTAACAAAAAAACCAATTGGTGTTCTTAATTAAATATATTTAACTTTGGTAGGGCCACGCAACAGTGTTTGCTGCTGTACGAATGAGCAGTCCGTCCGGGTTAGTACCACAATCTCACAGAAGACCGGCGTTAAATAGAAACGCTACACTTCTTTTTCGCTACACTGCTTCTTCACCGAGCCGTGATAGCTCACTGTCCGGGCGTTCGCCTTTAATTCAATATACTCGAGCAACCTGAGTTCCATCCCAGGTGCCGGCACCAATGAAATTGTCAATTTTAAGTGCTGAATTATCACGTGCTCAACGGTGAAGGAAAACATCGTGAGGAAACCTGCATATTTTCGAAATAATAACAAAAATAAATTTCGAAGATATGTGAAGTCCACCAATCCGCAGTGGGGCCGCGTTGTGGACTATGCCCTTATACCCTCTTTATAGAGGAGGCCTTTGCCCAGCAGTGGGACATGTATAGGTTGATACTTTACTTTACACTTCTGCGTTTTGTCTGGTGAGTGAGGTAGCCGGGTGTTGCAAATGTCCATGTGCGGCGTTTATCACTTAATATCGGGTGAACCGCCAGCTCGTTTGCCACTTTGTCACAAAAAGAAGCTACAGATTCGCCTGGTGAGTCATGGCTTGCTTAGTTCCCGGTTCTAACGGGCCATAAGAGTCTTATTAAGAACAGGCCCTAAGTTTTAGGTCAATGGGTTTTAAGGAATGGATTATTATTTACGTAATATTAAGACGGCTGAACTCACGTGAGTTCTATAACGTTCTTGTACTTCTTGTATTAACTGATGTTTTTGCTTTCAGTCCCGAGACTATTAAAGCTTCATCGGACGCAGAACCGGTGGGCTAGCCAGAACCGGTGGGCTAGCCAGAACCCACGGGTTTGGACCCTCCGCTATGGGTAGGGTCACGCATGTGCTCATGCGTGCGTTTAACTACTATGGTGTGTCATCTAAGGGCCGTCGAGGTCGCGGTTCGGACCGAGACCCCGACGGCCGTCGACTGTGCATTTAGCTAATCGGTGGCTGGGAGCGGTGAGAACCGCCCCGGAACGCGGTCTATAACGTATTACGTTAATAATGTCTCACGAAAGGATTATTATTTGTTCTTGACAGTGGCTGTACAATATGAAAATTGATGACACTTGAGGTCGTTGACGCAGCAAAATTTAACCGTGGCTTAACGTATCAAGAAAGCTAAATGATCTTGGCAAAACAATGGTCAACGTGACATTGGAGGGACATGCTTAGGTTGAGGAAACTATATCTTTACAAAACAAAGTCGATCCCGATTTTTGTACACTTAGATCTTTTAAACTACGCAATGAATTTTAATGCAGTTGCCAGCAATAGATAGTGATTCAGGCGGAAGTTTTCCATGTACTAAGTATACACGCTTAGTGGAGAGAAGCCGATTAATTCAATGGCTACATTGCACCCGTGCGAAGCCGAGGCGGGTCGCTAGATATTGGTTTTGATTAGAGAAAAAAGAAATATTGTATATCTTTTGTTAATAATTGCATTGTTGAAGCAATAGTTTCGCAAGCACATTGTCAAATGCCTTTGCACCCTGTGATGTGGCTTCGTGGGTTCAATTCCTGCATGGGTGACAATTTATGTTCTCCATATCTAATTGTACCGAGTGTGAGTGTACTTTGTCCGTAAACATTACCACGACACGCAAATTATTTCTAAAGCTGCTGGACTGTTCTTTTTTGTGGAGGCAAACGTGCCGTCGGGTCATACGTCGGGCCGTCGGGTCGTCGTGGATAACGAAATTGGTTATTGAAATTTCGTAATTTCTGCTTCGATTGGTAATGTAGGAAGGGCTTTTTGATGATTTTACTTGTTTTGGTAACTTAGAAGTATAAAAAAAGTAAAGTAAAGTAACAGAATATATATATATATATATATATATATATATATAACCTCCTCCGAGCTCCTCTTTTTAGGATAGCAGAACCTTGGAAATATTATTTTTATTAAAATTACGAAAATATGGTACTACACCGGTGATCATGTGATAAGTCAACACTTAAAATTGTAACCAAAAGTCGAGAGCTATAATGGTTCAGCTCTAGGTCGTATCGATCCGAAAATACCCGTGCCAACTGACTCTACAATTTGTACCTGAACTCGGGTATTAAACTAAATGTTTAGTGTCATCAACATTATGGCTGCCTTCGCATTACTACAACAAGCTACTTGGATAATCTTGATAAGCAATAGATTCCGCTTCGAGTTGCGTCCACATCTAGGTAATCTATTCCCCATTAATCTGTGCAAATAGACGCATTCACTTGTTCTAGTTTCGTCTTAATGGCCAGTCGCTACGGACACGTCTCGTTTCCTTTTCTTAATGCATTATTATTGATGCGATGCATTATTATTTTTATTTATTTATTTATTACACACACGCACACAACTATCAATACAGGCTGACCCAATGCGATAGTGTAGCCAAAAATGATAAAATTGTTGAAACAAAAAATAAAAGCTAACAAATGCATGGATTCAATTAAACTCAGAAGGCATATACTAAAAAAAATCATACTTGTAACTTTATACGTAACATATTACGTAATGGGATACTATGATAAAATTATTTCTATGGCATGAAAACAGGTCAATTCTGTCTTCTGTGAAATGGAGCCCTAGCCAATTATTAACCTTACAAAACAATTCAACAAAATCTGTTTAATACAAGTATTGACAATTTTGGCATTTCTGACGTTAATGCCAAAATTTGGTATTTGGTATTCGAGATATCTATTCATGATCATAACATTTATTTGAACATAAAAGATTTACTGCCATATGGCATTTTCTACTAGCCAAACGGAAAGTTAGTGTGAGACAGAAGTGTAGGTGCTAATAATTGGAACTATATAGGTATATATATTATATATCTATACATACATTATGATAAGAAATATTAGATACGTACAAAAATATTGATAACTTAATCATCTTAAAGTAAAACACAATTCACATACCGTTAATTATTAGCGGCTTGCGAATTGCATGAAATGCATGGAAAAATTGCTAAATATTTCATGAGACGTGTCGAAATTAATAAAAGTCTTATTGTGATTAGACATGTAAAGAATTTCCTCAAACAAATTCGTTGTGCATTCAACTTAACAGATTATAAAACACTAATTAATGCACAGATAATTGTAAACTGGCGGCGGAATGGGCAGATAATATCTTTTTTTATCGCTGCAATTCAGAGTCAAAATGGGAATTGTTTGGACAGTTGTTTGTATGAAATTAATCACTGTAATTATAAATATTCAAACAAGATAACTTATATAGGTCGATTTTTCGTGTTAATTACTACTTGGCCGTAGAAAAGGAGTCTTTAGCATTTTATTATATTTAAATCTAAAATTCAGAGTTTTCTTTTTGCGCCAGAATGGATGAAACGATTATATAACTCCAATGTTGTGTTCTTAATGCAATGCATTGGTAAATACTTATTAAATTGAAAAAATCTATTCTTTAAAACTTACTTCCGGGTGGACAAAATTTAGCGCAAGGTCTCGGCAATGTGATGGAATTAGGAAATGATAGCATGTGAACTTATTGTGCAAATGTATTCATAACTAATACATTTTAGTTTTCGCAACTAATGTATTATTGATTTAATTATAAAGCTAAACGTGTTCTAATTTTAAATAAAATAATATACGCTAAGGTTATCTGTCGTAGCAACTCACAGGCGTTTTTGATGTGTGTTGCATACGACAAGAACTTCCTACATCTTTTCAGAATGATAGGCAATCCTAACATCGGGCACCGATTCTAGGCAAAACAAAAGCATCATTGGCGCGATGATCGATCCACTTTAAAATGGAACGCAATAAATTGTGTGCCGGTCCACAATTAACACGTAAAATTATCGGGCCCAAGCGTTCACCCTTCTTTGCTCGTATCTTAACTGCTCCGAAGTGGGAGGGACGGTATAAAGCCTGTTCGTTAGAATGCCTGGACACAACCAGTCTTCGGCGTCCAACGAAGACACGCAGCAACATGAAGCTCTCGGTGAGTTCTATTAATAACACGTGCAGTGGAAGTGTAGTGAAATAAAAGTGTGGGAAATGGTAGGGAGTAGACAAAAATGCTTTGTTTTTTTTTTGTCCGCGAACAGAGTCGTCGTGAAATTTCGACCAGCACTTGTTGATATACGAAATGGAATAGTACATATCGAGTTTTTAATTGTGTTCATTTCTCTCTGTAAATAGTTTACCTATATAATTTCAATGTAATAAAAATAATTTTATCGCATTAAACATTAAAAATCACGTTATCATTCTACGAATTAAAAAAATTACGCACTTTTAAATTTATTTTCAACTATTTTTAGTTTAATTTAATTTAGTGCAGTACTCTCATTTTAATTTAACTAGATTAAAATAATAAAAACAATGCCGTACACCGAGCTGTATCAAACTTCGTATTTACATAAGCACAGGTTGAATACAAAACACAAGTTCCGCAATAACGGGAGCACTTAAACTAATTTTCTTCCCGCGTTACGGCCTTAGTGATGTGAGTGATTTTTATTTCACTTTCTAATGCTATACGACCGTAAGAAAACACGACGCAATTCTTAGACCTTAAATTAGGATTATCTCACCATGCTCTCTATAAAATCATTGAACGAGTATTGAAATTGTAACAGTTAATTAAAATCTCACTTAGCAAAAACATCTTAGCTTTACGGTAATATTTAGTACATTTAAAAAGGGAAAACTATTTAATGTCTTGGCCGGAAGGCTATACGTTATTAAATTTTGAGATTGAAAGAAAAAATAGAGGAAGATTAAATTTTATTTAATTAATAATTAATTAAAATAATAATTAATAATTTAAATACGATCATAAAAACAAAAATAGAAGTTAAATTCATACATTCCTCTAAACCCATCGGAAACAGATGGGGTTCTCGAATACAATTTAAAACTCTCGAGTGAAAGCCAATATTTGCAATTATGTTCTGTATGTATTTTTTTATTCACAAATTCGCTCATATGATTGGAAATTTACTTTCGAATGTCTCAACACTTTCTTCTCGTGTAACAATCGAAACTGATGATAAAAGCTTAAATTTGCATTTAAATGCACCACACAATATATTTAGATTGCACGCATTTTATCTTTTATTCTTTTTTAATTTAAAGTTCATCTGATAGCTTCGGATCGCTTAAACTATAATGTCGTTCGTGTTGAGTAATACTAAGGCGTTGAAGATATTTGACGTTTGTTGTAACCGTCAAATGGGAAAATCTAGACCTATATTTAGATTCTCTACGTTATTGCTTTATAGTTATGCTTTTTATGAATCGATATGTAGGATGTCCTTAATAATTATTAGTATTAATGTCATTAAGTTTTTGCACTTACGAGTGACAATAAGATATTCTATGGTAATAGGGTAAACGCACCACGCTGGCAAAGCCTTCTAAGCCGATTGTTCGTTGTGAAAAACAGTCGCGGAGGCGATCTCGGCGGACAAAATGTTGATTGATGTGTAACGAACGCGATGCATAATCGTTACGGCCGTAGGGGCGTTCCGAGGATTGATTGCCACAGACTAATGAGGCGTTTTTTTGGCGGGTAATCGTTGTAACGTAACTAATTCGTATTAGTCGAAATTACGTTATGTTATCGTGCTCGACTGACCGCACTATTGTTTTTTTCTGTTTATCTGTGCCGCCGATGTTGCATAATTAGTTGATAGATGTATTTTAAAAATGATTGTTTTATAAACTAAGAAGGTAAAGTTATGTTAAAAATGTTTAATCGACCAGGTCGGATTTCCCTAAGTCAATTGTAATTGTTCAAAAGTTTATTTATATTCAATATTACATTCAATAATGTAACAAAGCTTTAACCGGAGACGTTGCAATAGTATTAGAAATTTACATATCTGCACAGTAAAATAATGAGGTTGTGACAGAGTATCTTAGTATTGAATTATAGGTAACATCGCACAAATTTGTATAATCTATTATATTTATTTTATTACTGTCCACTAAAAAGTAATTGATAGATAATAGTCTGTTATTATTGTTCACAATCAAATTGTTATACCGCATGTTTGTTATTTAATTCACGAGTATTTAAATTTGAGGCAATAATGTTTTTAATTAAACATGTTGAACATATCTGCATACTTACTTCTCCATCGACATTTATGTCAAATACGTGTTTGTTTTATTTCCTCGTTAGTACGCTGCACTAGTACGCTGTATGTCACTAATCAGTCGACATATGTGACGGATCGAAAGCAATGGCCAGATCTAGTATAAATTTCACTTTCACTAGTGATACATTTTCCGGACATGTGCTTAAGTGTAAACACGTACTATGAATGAAACAGTCACTACGAATAGGCGTTTTTATTCGTTGCGAATACGTAATTTCGTCGAGTTTTAGAAGCTGTAACATAACGGAGGATTTTAAGAATATTTGCCGCTTAGTCTTACATTGTGTTATGTTATAATAAATGTTTTTTCTCTCTTTTTCATTATCGTTTAGATAATTTTTCGATTTGTCACCAGTAACAAATTTATTAAAAAATTAATTTAATAATTTCATTGACATCAATTGAAAACTCCGTAGCGCCGTTGCTTCGACGTCGGGGGTCTTGGGTTCGATTCCCACACGGGACAACTGTTTGTGTGACCCACAGATCTATAGTTGTTTCGCATCCGGGTGTTTGTGCGCGTGAAATTTATTATTGAAAAACGTACTTACAACACAGGATAATATTATCCTAAAGTAAGGGATATGTTTTAGAAAAAATAAAAAATAAAAATTAAACGTTATAGTTCTTATTATATACTTGCGGACTATTCATATCGTTTATAAACTGTTTTACTGATAAATATGAATTATTTGTGATTGAATAAAATAATTTATAAAATATTTTAAATTTATTATTTTATCCAAATGTAGAGAACATTAAGAAGTGTTTTATCTTAGGCGGCTCATGGTAACGAGACTTTTAACAAAGCTTTTCGGTGATAAAACTGCATGCGGAAGCTCCAACTATCTGTTACAATTCTCAGAGTAATTGTTCATGACAATAGGTCAATTATGTTTTAACTCAATGTCTTCGAGAAGATTTCGAGTTGGATCCGGAATATCGGAAGTTCGTTTAAAGAGAACGTTTTTGAATTTATCATTATCTCATTATGTCCTTACTAATATTATAAACGCGAAAGTTTGTATGCATGGATGTTTGTTACTCTTTTACGCAAATACTACTGAATGGATTTTAACGAAACTTTACAAAAATATAGCTTATCCATCAGAATATGACATAGGCTATAATTTATATACATATTTTATGTATATCTGTCTTTCTGTCTGAATGTTACGTCTTTAGCCTATTCTACACAGACGTAGTCGCACTAGTAAAAAAACCGCATCAAGATCCGTTGCGTAGTTTTAAAGATTTAAGCATACATAGGGACACAGACAGACAGACAACGGGACGACTTTATTTTATACTATGTAGTGATTCCGGTTCTTTAAATAAGTTGTTATTAATTGCATTTAATGTCTTTACGCTAAAAAAGTATGACTTCTTACGTGCGTACATTACACACATACTTTTTTGTTTGTTATCGAAAGTTTAACATTATATTCCAATCATAATGTAGAATAATAATTTCGTTGTCAATCTTACAACTGAAATTTCTTTAAATATTTAAGAGTAATAGAGAGTAGAGCAGAATGAATAGTTATATATGAATTATTTAATACAAAGAACGCGTCTTCCTACTCCTTTACGTAATTGTTAATGGTTTCTTTTTATGTATACATATATACATATAATAAAAGAATTATCACAAGAAAGCGGGAAACGGTACCTTTTGCAATTTATTTGATTACACAGCCACTGACTTGCCAGTCATTATTGCGATGAATAAAGAATTATTCTATGATAGAACGCTATCTATTAACTTCGATGGCTTTGATATAATGTTAGTAGGTCTGATAGTTTTGATTACATTAATTCGATTTAAAGTTATGTTAAGTACTGATTCGGTGGAGCAGTTGCTAAGATATTGGCATCGGCAGCGGGTCGTGGGTACGATTTTCATACGGTACAATTATTTTTGTGCCACGTAGATAATTGTTCCGGATCTGGGTGTTTGTTCTCAAACATCAGTTATGCACATAGTCGTATAATACCTAGGCACAACTCCTGATTGACTTGTTTTGCGGACTCCATTTAATATATAAGCACAATAGAAAGATGGTAATATGTTAAGCACTTAAATTAGTAATTTTAGTTAATTAAAACTTTGTTTCGATTAGCTTACGAATCCTAATGGGATAACATATTTAAGCCGACTCACCTAAGCGATAAGGGCAGGAGAAAGAGGTTCATCTGTATTCTCGTTAAGGCAGCAGCTGACGTCATTATTTTGCCCGCAGGTTGTTCTGGTAGCCGCGTTGGCCGTGACGGCCTTCGCCAGCGAGGAGAAGGCCGCTAAACCAGCGGCGGTCGAAGATAAGAAGCAGGAGAAGCGGGGCATCTACGACACCGGGTCCTACGGCGGCGGCTACAGCGATGGTGGCCACGGGTTCAGCGGAAGCGACGAGGGCCAGGGCTACGGAGGCCAGGAGAGCTACGGCGGGCAGGAGGGTGGCTACGAGATCAGCCAGGGCCACGGCTACGGCCAAGGCGGCTACGGCCAAGGCGGTTACGGCCAGGGAAGCGGTGGCGAGTTCGGCGGCATCTCCGGCGACTCCTGGAAGCCCATCTCCAGCGACGAGGGCCACGGCCACCACGAGCACGTGAAGACCATTGAGGTCGTGAAGAAGGTGCCCGTTCCATACACCGTCGAGAAGCACGTGCCGTACACCGTAGAAAAGAAAGTCCCGTACGAGGTGAAAGTGCCCTACCCGCAGCCGTACACCGTCGAGAAGAAAGTGCCGTTCACGGTCAAGGAGTACGTCAAGTACCCGGTCTACGTGCCCGAGCCCTACACAGTCGAGAAGAAGGTACCTTACGAGGTGAAGGTCCCCGTCGACAAGCCGTACGAGGTCAAGGTCAAAGTGCCCACCCCCTACACCGTCGAGAAGAAAGTGCCTTACGAGGTGAAAGTGCCCGTACCGCAGCCCTACACCGTCGAGAAGAAGGTACCAGTGCCCGTCAAGTACGAAGTCAAAGTGCCCCAGCCCTACGAGGTGGTCAAGAAGGTGCCTTACGAAGTGAAAGTGCCAGTCGACAGGCCATACAATGTGTACGTGCCCAAGCCTTACCCGGTCACGGTGGAGAAGCCGTACCCAGTGACTGTCAACAAGCCGGTGCCCTACGAAGTCAAGGTCCCAGTGGACAGGCCCTACAAGGTCGAGGTGGAGAAACCCTACCCCGTGCACATTAAGGTGCCGGTGCCCAAGCCGTACGACGTCTACAAGAAGGTTCCCTACACCGTCGAGAAGAAAGTGCCCTACGAAGTCAAAGTGCCCATCGACAAGCCGTACCCTGTGTACAAGGAGGTGCCTGTTCCCCTGGTTAAGGAGGTGCCGTACCCCGTGAAGGTGCACGTGCCCCTTTACTTCCAGAAAGAAGTGGAGCACCACGGCCACCACGGCTGGCACTGAGCACTGATTGGACGTCACACCCCAGTACCTTATAGGCTAAGTTCAAATTGTGATCGTTTAGATTTCCTAGTGTACATATTGATTCATTGTTAAGGCGAATTGTGCGCTCACGTATGTATGGTTGTGAACCGGAACGGTCGGGTTCCGAATGGAAGGCTTGCCTCGTTAGGTCTGTTGTTACTTGTTTTGCTTTTCTATGTGCTTTGTTTAAATTGTAATATGTTGAGTGTGTATACGACGTGTATTCTTAGTTGAGGCTGATAAATAAATAAATGTATTATTGAAGTGTTCTATTCGGTTTTATTGTCCCTTTTTAACTAGTCATTAATTCATAAATTAATTAATTAAAAGAAACATTGCCGATATACAAAATCAGTAACGTACTCATTTAAAATATTTTATGTTTACCGTAGAGATAATTTTATAATAAACTAACGTGTGATAGGCATTACGAACTGATGATGAGTTTAAAATTAACAAGTAAAGTACATAAAAACATATTTCTGTCACTACGAAAACGTACATTTTTAGAACCAATAATTTTTTACCTAAAACTAGTGGTGGAACTTTTAAATTTAAATTAAAGTTACTGTTGAAGATCTCATTTTGCATTCACTGATTTGGAGATATCTTAAAGTTGTTAAATATCGTATGTAGGCTTCACTATCGATTTTTAATATGCAAAAGCATAAACGCGCCCGAGGACAAGAGAAAACGGGACATTATGCCGATTACGCAACAAAACAGCACTCTCGGTCTATTATTGCGCACAAAACAAAAGACTTTGTAATAAAATTTAATCGACCCACATCACGGTGGGCGCGTTGAGTCATTGAAATTTCGCGCCAATATGTCGAGATTGCTTAACGCTCTTCATTTTGTCTGCAATGGCTGCTTGTACTAATCGGTGCAGAACACGATCTGATATGATAGAAGCGTTTCTGCGCAACTGCTTTTGTTTGCAATAGTTTTCAAGGATGTTTTACCGTGCATTGTTTGTATGTACCATTTAAATTGGTGCTTGACGTTAACAAATTATTGTGGCAACTGTCGTAGTACAGCAGCGGTTTCAGCACCAATGGGCATGCCCTGGGAAGGACCACGGCCTCAGAGAAAACCAGCGTGAAGTGGAAGTTTTATAATTTCGTGTTTTCCTCTGGTGATTGAAGTAATCGGGTTACAACAGGCGAACAGACAATTTTCCACAAAAAAAATAACAAGAATGCTAAAAATGGAGAAAATACCATGATCGGTTTACAATCGCAAACAGTAGATAGATATAAAGCTGAAAACGATGAAGTCAATAGCCGTTAAACAAATGTATATGTCGGCAAAGAATTGCCGACTTACTTCTTTGTATAATTCCCTTATTGGCGGTAAATATTTCTAAACCTTTCAGAGGCCCAAAATTCAAGCGCGGCTAGCAGCTGACAGCTTACATTCGAATTTTGAAATTTCTAAAAGAACCAGTCTTAAAAATAAGGAAATTGAATATCGAATTTTACCTGCCAGTTTGGTCTGCAAGTTAATGAAATAAAACCTCGTTACAGCTTGACATTTTGATGTCAACAATCTGTGATTTGCATTAAAAAGAGTTTAGTTAATTTATCTATTGTTTCGTTTCTTAGCGGGATATATAGTGCTAGCCATTTTTAATGTGCATATTCACTTCTAAACGTAACATAAATTATGCAAATGTATTATGTACAAATGTACATTTAAAACAATATTTGGCAACGGAAAACAAATATCCCAGGTTGTCTTTTATGGCACTAGCACTATCGTAGAAGGCGTAAAAGACCGGCATTATAAAGACAGCTGTTAGAAGCAGTCATATTTATTTAATTTATAGTGGGGTTATACTATTCTAATTGCCCAAAATACAGATAAAATAAAAAACAAATGGTTCTTCAAAGCCTAATTGTGGACTACCAGTTCTATAAACAAAAAAATGCACTTTCAAAAAAGGATACTTATTATTAATAAACTTATTAATAAATATGTACTTTCTACACACATCAGTAGAAATGTTAAAAATTTTTAGCGAATAATCAACGCGGAAAATATTGTGCCATTTGGAGTTTTAATGTTGGCGATTAGAGGTTGGTACATTAGAGGTTGTTCCGCAGATACGACAACGATGCAGCGCAGTATGGACATGCGTCATCTTTGTTAAAACATCTTTTATAACTAGTTGTTCTTTGCTAAATTAAATATTGCAAGCACGACGTTGAAGTTTCAATCCGAGCAAAGAACTCACCGTGACTCTCAATTCGACTTGAATTTGTTCACGGCCTCAAATAAGAGTTTCCATGGCTCAGCAATTTGACTAGAAAGTTCTAAATTTTCGAGTTTGAATCATATACTCATTAGTTAACTAAAAAAAAATCTCTAGCAAATGCGGAACAAATATTTCCATAAGCTGTGGTGTGATCGGACTGTATATAACATAATTTGACCTAGTTTCGAACGGAGAATAGTCTAGAATTGTAAACACTGTTACGTAAAGCACCGCACACTGACACTGATTATTGTCGAAAGTAAAGTCGACTGCACAGTAGATTGAGCGATACTATTTCTCAATGGATATGTAGAATTTAAATTACAATCTCTTTAACTCGCAAAGAAAGATTTTTTTTTATAGTTGACTGACTTGAACCATAATTGTATGCTGGTACTTTCACCACCTTCTTTGATGCCATGGACATGGAGGCAAAGAACATGAGATTACGAATAGGGAATAGAACCCTACTCACTTTGGGATATGGTCGGTTATTTGCTGCGTTCACGAGAAGAGTTCCGATAGTAAGAATCTTTGACATCAGGCAGCCACCGGCCCCTTCCTTTTCTCATTTTATAAAACAAAATAAAAATTTATTTTCATATTGTGCGATGTCGTAATCTAACGTAATCTCTGCCCACCCAGCATCGGCTCTTCTTTGATGTCATCTGTAGAGAGATCTTCACATTCACTGGAATATACTCCTAATTAGGGCTTAAACTTTACGCTTATTTTTAATGTTTTACTTTGCTCAATGGCAACATTTGGTTTGTTCGTTTAGCTGCAGTGGACAATCAACCTAAGAACGTTTCTCGCTGAGCTATTGCAACCTAGTTGGACCAAGCTTTCAATACCGATTGATATTTTTCAAATGCGAAATGACATGCAAATTTTAATTTATATTGTTTGTATTAATGCGTTTCATAGAGTCTTATAGTACTGAAAAGAACGGTGAATAGATTTTTGAAGAATGTATTTTCTCTCTCATTATAATGCTAACATTGGTGTACTTTTTTGGTATCAGGGGGAAATCGACAAAAGACACCCTATCATCTGCGGAAAGGTAGGGTTATGTGGGTTTGTATCGATGAAACCCCCTCAGTGCCCCCTTTTTAGACTTTCGGGGATCTTCAACGCACTTTTGGCACTCTGTATTGCGCATGAGCCCGCCTCGGAAAGGATAAACCTTCCTATACTACCTCACTATCTCACCTTCCTACTGTCAACTTGGGCTTGGAAGAAACGTCGGCTGACATTTTGTATTTTTGTAATTGGAGAGGAAACCAATCGAACATTAAATTTGGGATTAATCCGTAGAAAATTGCACAACGCGTGGACACCCTAATGCTGTTGGTAACAGTAATGACTTTGTTTAATAGACGTACGTAGCTTGAGTGACGGCTAAGAGTAGTTGATCACATAACTGTAACCTCATTCTTGGATCAATACAATGTCTGAAGTATGGCACTGTGTAAGTCTCGACTGATTAAGCAGGTTACACGTTGACTTGTGACTTGAGCTTTTTAAGTGAAACATTCGGAGAACTGATCTCGATAGACATGAATTATCATACTAGCACTCATAATAATAAGAGAATAAAATAGAGATGGCATTGGCTAATTCGTCATGTTACTGTACGTAACAAACTTGAGTTTAGGCACTAAGTGTAAACTTATAATGTTTTATAAATTATCGTTTTAAGCAGTAAAACAGAATCTTTGGATTAGAATAAGGCGAAATACTATACTACTTTTATATACTATAATACTTTTTTTAATATTTAAAGCAATGAGGACAGAAAGTATATACAAACCACAGGGTTCGTAGGTTTTTTAATACAGATTAATCCTTTGTAAAATGTTTATTTGTTATTAATTTGTATTGATTATTCGTTTGTGCTGATTCGTTTAATTTAATTAATATTTAAGTGAGCAGTGTCCATTGAAAAAATTAGCAGTGCATCTAAGTTTGTTTTAATTGTTAAAAGTAAGTTAATTAATTTAACACCTTTTTATATAATGTATATGGCAAATAAATGATTGATTGATTGATATTACGAGCTAAAATCAATGGGTATTGTCCAGTATTCGGTGATAGGCTCGTCACCTTTTTGGGATTTATTAAACTCCACGAGTAGTGCACAGTGATATTGTCCGGTTAGGGATTTATAGGACGTGAGCTTTTTACCGTTATTATAATCACAGTCAGGCTCTAACTCATATAACTTTTTTATGGAAAAACGGGGCGAGGTGGCAGTAGGTTCACCTGTTGGGCATGGGAAGTCCCATGACCTCACAGAAGACCGGCCTAAATTGAACTGCCATACTTCCGCGTTTAAACTGGTGAGTGAGGTACCTGAGACCTAGTTAATTAAAACGGATGTTGCCGATGTTCATTTGCGGCGGTTATCATCAGGTGGACCGCAAGCTCGCTTGCCAACTTCTCAAATAAAAAATCTCACACGACTCGAGACATGACTCGAAAAAAGTTTTAGTCAACGTATGTTAAGAAATTTAGTTGTTTGGAAATCATTTTGCCGCGCGGTTATTCCTTTGGTTAAACGTAACTGCCGTAACGTTCAAGTAAGCCGTGCGGCTTGCGCAAGCCGCTTCGCGAATTATTTAAAAGATAGAAATATGACGCGCACGTGCCGCAGTGGCTTATGCTACGCCATCTTAAGTAATGTTTTTGACGACCGATTTGACGAAGAAGTGGA